ACACTTAAATTATTAGAACCAAATCTAATAGCAAAATGCTCACAGTGGTTATATGTTGTTCAATGTGAAAGACTTTAAGGTGTGTTTTGTAATGCCATAAAAGTAAGATGGTGAAAACGTAATTACTAAAAGTTAAAGGACAAAGATGATAAAAGGCAAATAAAGTTAGAGGAAGAGAATGAAGATGGCAGCTTTGACTCTTCATCACTTGTGCCTTCGACATCTGTCACTTCCTCACCAAACTCTCTCGAGTTCTCCTCAAAATCCCGTTAAAAATCTAATCTTTCGTCAACCCCTTACCCAATCCTCAACCTTTCGGTTTTCTACGGTTGCTGTAAAAGCTCTGAGTACAGTCTCGGTGGAGGATTCACCGGAGAAGAAGATGGTGAAAGGTATTCGAGTTTACGAGCATGGAGGTCCTGAGGTGAGTTTAAAGTTTCGATTTTTAGTTTTTGGGGTCGGATTTGGAATCATTGTAATTAAATTAAGTTGAAGCTTGTATGATTAGAGATTGTAATCAGTGATGTGTTTTTTCAGACATAGCTTTAGTTACTTGTAATAACCACTGCTTTGAAAATAGTATTAATATATCAAACTTGTGATTGTTATTAGCATTTTGCTTATCTGTATTCTAAATAATTTTTCTAGAAAGATTTTTAAAATTTGGTCTCTACAAAAATTGGTTTAGAGGGGCACCTAATCAATAATCTCATATGTAGATATATTTTTGTAACATTAATATTATGTATTTCATTGTGGTATTGTTTATAAACTGGAAGGTTCTGAAATGGGAAGATGTGGAAGTAGGGGAACCAAAAGAAGGTGAGATACGCGTGAAGAACAAAGCTATTGGACTTAACTTCATTGATGTTTACTACAGGAAAGGTGTTTACAAACCAGCTTCTATACCCTTCACACCAGGTTCTACTCTCTCTACAACCTTACTTTTTTTTACACAAACAGAACTTTATCTCTTAAACTTATATGCCTTTTTGTGATTATAGGTATGGAGGCTGTTGGAGAAGTGGTAGCTGTTGGGTCAGGATTGACTGGCAGAAAGATCGGTGATCTCGTTGCTTATGCTGGAACTCCAATGGGTGCATATGCTGAAGAACAAGTACTTCCTGCTGATAAAGTGGTTCCTGTTCCTTCATCTATTGATCCTATAGTTGCAGCATCAATCATGCTCAAGGGTATGACTGCACAGTTTCTCCTTCGCCGTTGCTTCAAGGTTAGTCACCAGTCATGCGGTTTGGGTAGTTTTGGTTCGGATAGTTCGGGATTAGGTAGTTCAGTTCGGCCAAAATCTCGATTATTTTCGCTATTCGGGTAGTTCGGTTTTTAAAAAATTTACCGAAACTAACGGAAGTTTTGTAATAGCATAATTAACCAGTGTTAACAAAAAAACTCGTTGTTTTTTTTGTTTCGGTTATATTTCAGTAAATTTTTTTGTTAAATTCAGTTAAGTTAGGGTAATTTATGTTATTTTGGTTAAATCAGTTAGTTTGGTTTGAAACTTGGTTAAAAACAAATTTCTAGAAAACCGATTGCCGAATCAAAAACCGGTTTTTTTAATAAACTTACCGAATGAACCAAACTTGTAACCGAACTGATAAAAAAAATTGGTTCGGTTAGGTTCAAATCCGCAAGCCGATTAGTCATCATTTAAGATGCTTCTAACATAATCTCTTCATGCAATATCATAATAAATCAGCATTATAAAAAAAAAAAACACTATCTCTTCACTGTATTGACTCAAGTTCTATTTGTAATTGGTAAGGTTGAACGTGGGCACACAATCCTTATCCATGCTGCAGCTGGTGGAGTTGGATCTCTGTTGTGTCAATGGGCAAATGCACTCGGAGCCACTGTTATTGGAACTGTCTCCACCAATGAGAAAGCAGCTCAAGCCAAAGAAGATGGATGTCACCATGTTATCATGTACAAGAACGAGGATTTTGTTACACGTGTCAAAGACATTACATCAGGCAAAGGAGTCGATGTTGTTTATGACTCAGTGGGAAAAGACACTTTCAAGGGATCATTAGCGTGTTTAAAGACCAGAGGATACATGGTGAGCTTTGGACAATCCTCTGGAACTCCAGATCCTGTTCCTTTATCTGATCTTGCTCCGAAGTCTCTCTTCTTGACAAGACCTTCCATGATGCAATATAATGAAACTCGAGATGAGTTGTTGGAGTGTGCAGGTGAGGTTTTTGCTAATGTTGCTTCAGGGGTTATAAAGGCTCGTGTGAACCACAAGTATCCGTTGTCTCGTGTTGCTGATGCTCATGCAGACCTTGAGAATAGGATAACATCTGGATCCGTTGTGTTATTGCCTTGAAAACATGTTTGTGATGTTTCTTTTTATCCTCCAATAAGAGTAATAAATAGGATTCCTTTGTGATATCTCGATGCATGGTATTTCAAGTTGTGTTACTACTTACTTTTGTCCAAAGACAATTTTTCTTCGAATGTTGTTTATCTAGTAAATGTCAATATCGTGAAGGTTTACACATAAAAAGAAAGTTAGTGGATGGATATATACGAACATTAATGATATTTTCCAGAAACATGCTCTAATGTTAATGTTATGAAACCATTGTCTCGTTTGAGAAATGTCCATGTGATGTTGAAAGACTGACCAAGTCAAAATGCAAGTTAAGGGCGGAATATTCTAATATAGACGAGGACAAAGACATGTTGCGTTATAATTAATCTGTGACATGTTGCCTCTCAATAATGTCAACAAAGACTATCTGGCATTAGATAATATAAAATATATACAAACTGCAAAACACTAGTTTGAGGATCATAGGATCAGAAGCGGCCTTAAAGCCAAGCAAATCAAGCGTTCGCTTGCGACCTCAAATTTCACACAAAATATAACCTTTAAAAATAGTCACTATTTTAAAAAGATACTAGATTTTGACCCGCGCTTCAAAAACGCGGGTTTTTGTTAGATTATAAACAAATTTTGATATGATTTAGTATTTTAGAAATGATGTACATTATTAGGCTACAAATCTTAATATATAAAATAGATTTTTTTGAAAATTATGTAATTTATAAATTAGTTTATTTGAGATTTTATATGTAAGTTTTTAATGTAACTCTCTCTAGGTCTTGACATTTTATCCGGATCGAAAAACACGACCAAACCGACCCGAAAATATAGGTTCGGCTAGGATCCATGATAAAGTACTTACTGGC